CAAGGTTTCTGCCCACATGAAGGGCCTCAGGCACATTAAGTCCATCACAAAAGATCCAGGTGAGTCCCTGTGAGCCCCTGTTCACCCCTGTCATTGCTTCTCCCCTGCTTACTCTGCTCCTGCTTATACCTCTGACAGCAGCAAGGCCCTGCCCTCGAACAGACCCTTCTGCAGTCCCAGTTGGACAGAGGCTTTTAAGGGATGGGCTTGGGGCGCCTGGGTGGATCAGTTGGTTAAGGGTCTGCCTTCAGCTCAGGTCATGATCCCAGGGTGCTGGCATCGAGCCCCGTGTCCGGCTCCCTGCTCAGTGGGGATCTGCTTCTCCCTCTACCTCTGCCCCTCCACCCGCTTGTGCTCCCTTCCTCTCTCTCCCTCCCTCAGATAAATAAAATCTTTAAAAAAGAGAGGGGGTCCCTACTGTCCCTCTTCCAGGGGCTCCAGAGTCCTGGCAAGGAAAATGAGTTCATCTCCAACATACTACCCTCCCCGAGGCATGCAAGGGGAGTATTTACACAGTATTCAGACTGAATAATTTGTAGTTTCTGGTCTAGCAGGGACCTTAGAGCATCCTGACCAACTCCTTCCCTGTCCGGTGCCCTAAAAAGGGGAAGGAACCTGCTTAAGGCCAAAGATCATCATTGACTTGAACTCTTTTGTAGATAACGATGAACATGATTATGAAGAAATACTTGAGACATTTCGGAACACCCTTTAGATGCTGGAGGAACCCTGCTTCCTAACTGCTGTTTCTCAGGGAACCTCTGATACCAGCCAACCGTTACAAGCCTTTGCAAGACCTCAGACAAGATCTCATGAAATCAGACTGTGGACAGGAAATGGCTTCGTGGGGACCAACGTGAAAAGGGATGGCCATTGTACCAGTGCTTTCCTCAGGTTCTAGGTTCCTGCCACTGAGGGCTGGCTTGTTTGGGCCCAGCACCTTATGCTTGACTCCCTCAGCCTCAGAGCTTTGGTATACAGAGGAGCCAACTGGGTTCTGTTCAGTCCTGAGTCCCCAACATCCGTGTCTCACTGGTTGGTGCAGAAAGGAATCCAAGACCACCAACCTTGATGGTGGCAGCACAGTGTTTCCTGCCTCTTGGTAAAGGGAACTCGATCCGGAACACACTGCCCTGAGAGCCTTTTCTTCTGTTTGCCACCCCCTCGCCCTCCTCCTCCCCCACCAAACTCTAAGACCTCGAGAGAGCAGGACTGGGTCATCTGTGTAGGACGCAGCATGATAGTTGCACGTGACGATCCAGGATTTTTTCACTCTAAAACCATAGAATAAAAATGACATCCGGGCATCGGGAAAAATGGAAAGATACCATGTGTCTGTGTGCCAGACCCTTTATAAACATTATCTAAATCTTCAACTCTGAATAGACAACAGCCTGATTTTAAAGGTCAGAAAACTAGCTTGAGTGATCAGGTGCTTCAGGAGGGCTGACTAGTCGTGGGCCTGGGTTAGCATCCCAGCTCACCACCTATCAGCTGTGACTGTGAGCAAGTTCTTTTAAACTAAGCTTCATTTCCTTCATATGTAAAATAAAACTAACGGTTATCTACCTCACAGAATTGTTCTAAGGATCAAATGCGATAACCTTGGTGAAGTATTTAGTGCAGTGCCTGGCGCGTAACGAACAGTAAGAATGTTAGCATCATTCCTGTTGACCCAGATCACGTAGCTGTACCTGTCTCTACAGCCTGTGTTCGTTCTCCACCCCCACACCGTCTCCCAGGCATGGAATCCTTCCGTGTCTGGAATATTCTGAGCTCCTAGACTGGAGACAGTGTGTGCGCACTGGTTGGCGAGCCTCCCCATCCAGCGTAACAGAGAGAAACCTGTGTCTGTGCAGACACTAACTCGGCTTCCAAGGTCAGTCTAGGCCTGTTCCATGAGGTGAGACCACAGGCCTCACTTCCTGGAAGTGGTAGGGCTTTGGTTCCTAGACGGAGGCAGTCACAGAACCAAGCACTGTGGTCAGCAGAGGACAGGAGATAGACAAAACGGTGACCGCAGTCTCCAGCTGAGGCGGGAGTGGAGAGTGTCGGTCTGGAGCTCCTGGATTCGAGGGAGCACATCTGAGTATGTCCTTCCTTGGTCTGCTGACACTCCACTGAGCTGTCCAGACCCGCTTCACCTCCTAGGCCTCCTGGCTTCCATACCCCCGCATGGCGCTCTCCAGGCGAGCACTGAGCAGCTAACACAAGCTGCTGGCCAGTTCCCATGCCTTCCTCCAGAGACCGGCTGAACCGCCCAGGAGGACCCTGAAGAGCATGCTCCGGGACAAGCAATAAATAAGAAAAATACAGAAAAGAGTTCCTCTTTGGCACAGGACCCCGAGGGCCAAGCCCATATGCAGAATGCCAGTAGTTTTCACTTCCACGACTGCATTTAATTGTGGCCCCAAATGGGGCAAGATCACAAAAGGGGGCAGAGGGGGCTACCAGCTCCTACAGAAGGGGGTTTCCGAGGGGCCAAATGCTGCAATGAGAAGCAAGCAAGCAAATTCATATATAGGAAAGCTGGGCTGAAAAGGAAAACATGTTTGAAAACCACAACTGTGAATGTTTTATCACAGCAGTGGGGGTTGGCAGGGAACAAAGGTGGATGATGCCTGTGGGGTGCTTTTGTCTTAACTCTGGAATAAGCCACTGGGCGGTGGGGAGGGTGTTATAGTGGGGCTAGGGGATCCCCCTGAGCAGTGGCCTCCAAAGCGAGCACACACTCCTGGGAATATACAAGATGTACACTGGGAAACAGAAAAGAATTATTAGTCCATGCCTTCATATTTATTTTTCCTATCTTTTCTCATTTCTATTTTTTAATGTTTTGTGATGTAGAGAACATGCTAACACAGGAACAGATGTAAATAACTGCTAAATAAATGAACATAAACTGGAGATGCATACTCAAAAATGGATCGAGTTCTGAATTTCCCTCAAATGCATTTTCAAGTTTTTCTTTTAAGATTTTATTTATTTATTTATTTGAGAGAGAGAGAGCACAAGCCGGGGAGTGAGAGAGGGAGAAGCAGACTCCCCACTCACTGGGCAGGGAACCCTACACGGGGGGCTCAATTCCAGGACCCTGAGAGCATGACCTGAGCTGGAGGCAGACGCTTAACCGACTGGGCCTGTCCCACAACTTGTGCTTTTTTAAGTGAAAATAGTATATACAAAGTGTTTATGATCCATATTTTCTATAACGATAAAATATAAAAAACCAAGTGATCTTTTACCTAATTAAAAATAAAACGAATAGGGGCGCCTGGGTGGCTCAGTCATTAAGGGTCTGCCTTTGGCTCAGGTCATGATCCCAGGGTCCTCTCTCAGTCTCTGTCAAATAAATAAATAAAATCTTTAAAAAAATAAAATAAAAAGGATAAAAAGTATAGGTTTCCTTTTAGTTTATTTTCTCCATGTTTATACAGATACATACACGTTGCTTTGCAAAAATGGGGTCATACCACGTATACCATCTTGTAACATGCTCTTTTCCTCTCAAGTTTATGGTAAACACTTTGTAACAGTATATCCATTTCTATATCACCTTATATCATAAATATATCATGGTTTAATAGTGCCCTATTGCTCGCATTTTGAAATTTTTTAAAAATAATTCTTTTCTCTTTTTAAAGCTTTTATTTATTTATTTGAGAGTGTGAGAGACAGAGAGAGAGAACACAAGGGTGAGGGGCAGAGGGAGAAGCAGACTCCCTGCTGAGCAGGGAGCCAATGCAGGGCTCGATCCCAGGACTCCAGGATCATGACCTGAGCGGAAGACAGACACTTAACCGACTGGGCCACCCAGGCGCCCCTGAAAAAAAATTTTTTTTTAAAGATTTTATTTATTCATTTGACAGAAAGAGACACAGCGAGAGAGGGAACACAAAAGCAGGGGGAGTGGGAGAGGGAGTAGCAGGCTTTCTGCTGAGCAGGGAGCCCGATGAGGGGCTCGATCCCAGGACCCTGAGATCATGACCTGAGCCGAAGGCAGACGCTTAACGCCTGAGCCACCCAGGCACCCCATGAAATTTTTTTTTTTTTTTTAAAGATTTATTTGAGAGAGAGTGCATGCAAATGGGGGAGGGGCAAAGGGAGAGGGAAGCAGACTCCCCGCTGAGTGCAAAGCACAACTCAAGGCCCAGTCTCACAACCCTGAGATCATGACCTGAGCCTAAACCAAAAGTCTGACACTTAACCAACTGAGCCACCTAGGTGCCCCTGAAACTGTTTTTAATTTTTCATTATTATAGACAATGCTATGATCAACACTCTTACAACTGAATCTTTGTATACATCTTTAATTATTTTCTTAATGTAAACCTCTAGCAGAGAAGTGCTAGATCAGCATTTTTATGATGGATGATTTTGATCACCAGCTGACTTTTGAGGTAGGTTATACCAATTTATACTCAAACCATCAAGGTAGGATGGCATCCATTTCTCTTGACTAACAATGACAAATCATTCAACAAATATTTAGTTAAGTGCCTACTAAGTGCTAGAGGCACTGCGTTAGCTACTACTCTTACCAGAAGTGGACACTGTCATTCTTTTTTTTTCTATGCTAATTTAATAAATTAAAAATGGCAGGGCGCCTGGGTGGCTCAGTCGGTTAAGCGTCTCACTCTTGATTTACGCTCAGGTCATGATCACAGGGTTGTGAAATCGAGCCCCGCGTGGAGCCTGCTTAAGATTTTCGCTCTCCCTCTGCCTCTGTCCCATCACAACCTTCCTTCTCTTAAAAAAAAAAAAAAATCCCTCTTCCACAGAGTTTGCATTCTAATGTCTCCTGTCACTTGCCTTTTAACTTTGCTTATACTATAGTGAAGTTTGGAACATTTTAAATTTTTATGAATTCAAATGTATTAACCTTTCATTTTAGGGTTTCTGCCTTTGATGTCCTGCTTATAAATTATTTTTAATCTAAGAAATTAAAAAGACCAAAAAAGTCCAACATCTCCAGAGTCCCAAAATAACCCCACCCTAATTCAAAAATAACTGCTTACATCTGTGTCAACCCACTGGCGAACATCCATGGGTGCAGCTGTCATGTCATCTATTTTGTACACAATGTTGGTTGGGGCCTTTTCTGCATGTCTGATTATACCCACAATAGTGACCTAGATCAGAAGAAAAAAGAAACGGTTGGTTTTCCTGGAAACTAAAACAACATTTATGTCTTTTTAAATAGATAATTTTTATTTCATTCTTCACATGATGAAGGGACTCTTCCACAAACTATTTTACTTACCTGTGAAATCTCAACATTCCCAATTTTGAACATTTCATCAACCAGAGTGGCAGAAAGCAGCTGAGATATGGTACAGGGTACAATGTGCTGGGCTCGGACCCTCTGAAAAGAAAATGTATAAATGCAATTAAGAAAATAATAATTACCACCCATTAACACATTTCATGTGCCAAGCACTTTACATACATCATAACACTGAATCTTCAGAATGAATCTCATCACCCTTGCTTCACAGAGATGGAAACCAAGATCATATAGCTAACAAATACCACACTTTAGAATTCAAACTAGGTGTGTCTGACTCCAAAGCTCCTGATCAATGGGTAAGTTTGTGTAGCACTATGGTTTCACTAAAATGAGCAGGCCAGAGTGGGGACAACATAAGGAAGGATGACCTGCTTCCGGGACAAAACTTATACTCCAGTTTTAGGACAAAGGCAAGCCAGAGCTAGCTGTTTAGTTCACCAATGACATGAGATGGTATTTGGAAAGGGTTTGAGAAATGGCCAGTAGAGACAGAACTTTGGAGTTGTTCTAAGTCTCATGATAAAATATAACAAAGTTCGAGGTATAGCTTTCTTAAGGACAGGTGCTCTGACAATCGGATGAAAGTCCTGGGGAAAATGGGATAAGGGCTTGGCCACGCTGGACATCTTAAAGGGAAAGGACACGACATGTTGGGCAGAAGAATGTCCAATGAGGACATTGAAATCCCATTCAAAAGCAGCCTAACAACACTGTAAACTCTTATTGTCCTACCACTGGCCAGGGCTTGTCTCATGGCATAAAGATGAGAAAAATGGAATAGGATTTACTCTCAACACACTCCTACCTAATGGAGGCACAAATGTAAATAACAAACCGGTCTTGATATACTATAGAATGAGATGCACTATGTGGGATCCCAGAAAAACGTACTGGCACTTTCAAGAGTTAGCATTCGGGCTCTACGCTGAAGTATGAAAACGTCGACAGTAAAAAAACAGTAAGGGATGGGCATTTCAGGCTAAGGGTAAATATGCACTCTCACAAACTCATTTAGGAAATAAGTACATGGAAGAAAATGCACGGTGGATTAAAGATTAGAGTTCTTCTTGTCGGAAATCAACAACCTAATAATAGCTATCTACATGTAAGACATAACAGACTCTTTGCACTCATGGATTTAGCAGTTTCAGCTTTGCCCTGAAGGTCTATGATACTTGCAACATTTCCTTCTGCTGAAACCTCATTCTGAATGGTGAGTATTGCCAGGATGGTAAAAAGTACGCACTGCCAACTCCCAGCACACATCACAAAAGGCGGCAGTGAAGCTTGAGGGTTAAGATATGGCTCTGTCACTCAGGAGCAGTGTGTTCTTGGTCATGTTTTTCAACTCATTTCTATCTTAGTTTTCTTATCTGTAAAACTAGGAATGATAAAATCATGAAAATTAAGTATATGGTGAAGCACCTAGAATAATACCTGGCGCATCGTAAGCACTCAAAAAATGTTAGCAAATGTTATTTGGTCAACTAGTGTTCCTCACCGTTTAGATCTGTAATGGCTTTTACTAAGGATGTGAGGAATCAACAATGCTTTTCAATTTTACCTTATGGAATTGTATAGGTGAAGTTACATGCAACACTGGTATCAGTAGATTTAAAATTTGCTGAGGTCCCATGTTTTAGCTCTCACTACGATATATTCTGTTTCCACCTATCACTGGTGAGCTTTTCATTGTATTTTCAGTGTAAGAAAACTAAGAACCACTATTGGGAACAGGAACAAGAACATGGGCTTTGGTGCCTCACAGTCCTACAGACCTGTGTTCAATCCCAGCTCCACAGCCCTGGACATGCCACCACCTCTTCTGTCAAATGAGAATATCCACCTTCCAAATTGTAAACAAAACATATAATGGATATAAAAGTGCTAATGCTGGTTTCTACATGTAGTATGTATTCAACAAATACTATTACTCCTCAGATAAAAAAAAAGTTACATACGGGTAATGATTGAGGTGTTAGCAATACTTTCAAATTCATCTCAAATCACAGGTATTTCTTGTTTTTTAAGCACCTATTATTATTCCAAAGAGTTCCTGGTTTGTTCCAAAGAGATTCACAGAGAGTGTGTCAGCATTAAGTATATTTAATTTTTAAAAAATTCTTTTCTAGCTGACTATGAATCACAGGTTACTCTGACAGTATTGTATGAAACCACCATTTTTATGGGTAAAAAGCTGTCACTACTGAAAATTTCACATGGTTCAATAAAATGTAACAGGTTTACGGTAGATAGGAAACTGTTTAGATGGGTGTTTGTCTAATTTACTGTGGAAAAGGCACTAGATTTAGAAACAAAAAGATCTGGGTTGAGTCTCTAGCTTACAACCATCATCACTCTCTGAAAAGCTGTCTTTTTTTTTTTTTTAAAGATTTTATTTATTTATCTGAGAGAGAGAATGGGAGACAGAGAGCATGAGAGGGGGAGGATCAGAGGGAGAAGCAGATTCCCCGCTGAGCAGGCAGCCCGATGTGGGACTCGATCCCGGGACTCCAGGATCATGACCTGAGCCGAAGGCAGTTGCTTAACCAACTGAGCCACCCAGGCGCCCCTGAAAAGCTGTCTTAATAGGGTGCCCAAGCTAGGGATCCTGAGAGAAAAATTCTATCTACTGGAATGAAGAGAACAGTTAAGCTCAGAAAAGATGAAAACCAATGATCTTTTGTTTTCTCCTTCACAACCTCAAGGAAGACAAAGAGTACTAGAGTCCCCACAGTCTTCCTGGGAAAAAGGAAACTGCAAAAGAGAAGCCGCTCACCAGATTTTGGATTTGCTCACCAGATTTTGGATTTGCTCGGCATCCTGTATGCAGTATCTAGTTCCACTTACTTACTAGCTATAGAAGCTTAGGCAGTCCCTTCACCTTCCAGGCCCTCTGTTATACAATGGGATAAACAATAAATACCTTATGGGATTATATGAAATAATTTGTATGAAAAATATAAAGCAATGTCCAAATATATGGGAATTATCAATTCTTTCCCACTGACACACACCCCTGAATTAACAGTTTAGGTAAAAGCTAATCAACCTGTACAAAAAAAACAGAACCGGCTAATACTGAATCTTAACACCACATCTGAATGACACCTAACGAGTAGCCAAATCAACCTTGTATTTAAAGGATGCAATCAATAGCAGTTGTTAAATGCAAACTCTTTTCTGATACAGTGAATAACAAGCATTTTGACAGCTTTTTACAGATCACTTTCCTATATATTACATTACCTTATTTATCAATTCTCAGCACCAGTGATGTACGTAGTACGGTACCATTATCAGATGAGAAAAACCAAGGGCCACAAGGTTCAAGTTGCTGTACTAAAGATACTGCCACTTAAAAGTTGATTCCAGACACTCATGTTCTTTTTAACAAAAATATCTGGGACCAGGGGTGTCTGGCTGGCTCAGTCAGAAGAGCATGTGACTTGGTATCAGGGTTCGAGCCGTTGGGTGTAGAGATTACTTAAATAAAAACTTAAAAAAATCTGGGACCATTTATTGAAAGTGACTACAGGGCGTGCACTTTATATATACTATATATTAGAATATTAAGTCTCACAACAGCCTTGTAAGGTATGCATTATTAATCCCGTTTAGTAGTAACCCCATTTGATTCCCGATGTTACTAAATTTGTCCAATGAAACCCTGTGTGTCAGAGCAATGGTAGAACATCGATCTACCGGACTTCGAAGACCATGCTCTTTCCACCGCTTTTTATCACCTCATTACAATTAAAAAAAAAAAAAAAAGATTTCGAATACATGAAGAATGCAAATACGCTAGTAACATAGTCCAGTTTTCCCACAAGACTGATTCATTAGCTATATTGGTAAATTTCAAAATAAAGCCAATTCAACGGTGGAAGTTAAAGTAGGAGAAATTTCATTTTTTAATCTTACAGCACTTAATTCTAAGATTCGGTAAGGCAATAATTGGTAATTATCCAATCAGTTCGTGTTTGACATCTTTCGCCGCATAAATTTTCTCTCAGGGGCGAGTTAGGAACTTCAGGACAGAATGAAATAAAACGAAATACTCTTTCAACCTACTGATTTCTTTTCAACCTGCGAAGGTGTCGGCGATCCAAAGCCCCCGGGCGACTGCGTGTAGCTGCCCGCTCCGCCAAAGGAGGAGCTGCTGTAGCTTTCAGATCCACCTGGTTTTAAACAACAGTATCAATGCCTGTGCTGCCTTCCAAGCTTCTGAACAACCCACAGGCCTCCTCAGACTTCACCCCACGGCCAACCACTCCCAGCATCGCCCTAATCTTCCCCACCACCTTGCCCTGGCCCCCCGCCCCTTCGCCACCCCTTCCCTCCCCCACTCGCACCGTCACACGCCTCTCCGACCCCCGCCCTCCTGCTAAATCCTCCTTGCGTCTCTCATCCTTACTAAACCACATCTTGGTCCCGACTCCCTCAGGAAAGATGTCCAGAAGACGCCTGTCTGGTGAGTTCGTCTAACTCCTCAGAACCCTGCTGCGGCCGCAGTGTTAAATCCACTTCCCGCTGGTGCCACAAACTCCTTCCCGCGAACGACGGAACCAGTCAGCGTCCAGAACGCTTCTTGCCTCAGCCAGTCAATGCTCACGAACTCTACGCTTTTTCCTGTCGTACCTGGCCAAGCTTATGAAAACGCGCACTCTGCTTCCGAGGGGCCCGGAAGCCTCTGCGGCCATTTTTACTAAGGGCAAAACAAGCTGCGCAAGCGGAAGCAAGGAGCGGCGAGAGGCTGATAGGGCGTGTCTCAAGAAAACAACCAATCAAAATGATAATTCCGAATCTCAGGTCGCATAATCCCACCCCCGTCAGTGAGCGACACTTTACAGCACTTCCTTTGTTTGGCGTCCTCCTGTTCCCGCCAAACTCTCACCAATCAGACGACGTCTTAATCTACACCGCTACGGCAGAATTCTTGCTTCGGCGACTCCGCCTCGCCATCGTGCGGCGCTTGCGCATTTGGGGCCCTACCATGCTGTCTTCACTGCACGTCGTGGGATTGAAAAAAAAAAAAAAGAAAGCCAGGTTTTCTTCTTGTATGGGCATTCCCTCGTCCTGAATTTCCCCAGTAAGGCTGTAAGGAACATACACCCTCTTCCCCAGGACATCTTTTCAAAAGATCTGAGGATCGCATCGCGCCCCTGCCCCCTTCCTCTCCCCAGTCTAATAGGGTTCTGCATCCCTGATTATTTAAACTGTTCTTCACATAACATTGTTCCGTCCTCCTGTAGAGAGAACACGTCTGTCATCTCCTTCCTCTACATATCGCTAGATTGTTAGGCTCCCTCACACCTCACTTATTTAGATAAAAAGTATTCATTGCTGCCTTTTTTGTTCCAGGTTCTGTGCTGGCCACTGGGATTCAACTGTAAATAAGATAGACATGGTCCCTGGGTTCCTGGGCCATTTTATTTTTCTAAAACTGTAGGCACTGTCTTAAATACTTTACATTTAGTAACTCAGTCCTGTGAGGTCGGTGAACACCGTTACTGTCCCGGTTTTACAAAGGAGGCAGCCAAGGCAAAGAGAGGCTAAGTGGTGGAAGTCTGCATTCAAGCCCAGGAAGTCTGATTTCATCAACCAGTGTAGTCACTGTACCTTCTTGAACATCCCACACCTGGGGCACAAACTCAAGTTGACAACTGGGGTCAGGCAGGAAAATTGTAAATGTAGTGGGCTGGATAATAGAGGGAATTTTTTTTTTAATTTTATTTTACTTTTTTCTCCACAGTGAGAAAAACAGCCACACAAATACAATGGTAAATAGCAACTGACAACAAATATGGGTCCAGTGTTGTCATCTATATATTTTTAGCAGACTCCAGAAATTTTGATTTTTGTGTAAAAATTTCGGAATTTTTCGTGTTTTTAAGGAAATTTAAAGTTTTAAAAACAGCATGTGGGCCAGAGAAAAGGTATCTGTGGGACAGACGTTGCCTGTCTGCCACCTCTTATCTGTGTAAATTTTGTAAGCCTCCAAATCATCACTGAAGAATAAAAAAGATACAGCTGAGGACAGAAATCTGAAGCATACCATGTTATATTAAGCATAAGGTGATTGAAATTTACATAGTCTAACAAATAAGACCATATTTCTGATATATAGGATAAAATGTTTGAAATTAAGAGTATTCTGGGAAATTTAAGATGTGGATTCACTTGGAGTAATTGGGTTCATTTGGGTTCAATTAGTTATAAATTCAGCTGAGAAGATCATACATTTAAGGGATATGGGGCACCTCAGTGGCTCAGTGGGTTAAGTGCCTTTGGCTCAGGTCGTGATGCTCAGTGGGAAGCCTGCTTTTCCCTCTCCCTCTGCCTGCCTCTCTGCCTGCTTGTGTTCTCTTTCTCTCTCTCATTTATTTATTTATTTGACAGATAGAGACACAGCAAGAGAGGGAACACAAGCAGGGCGAATGGGAGATGGAGAAGCAGGCTTCCTGCTGAGCAGGGAGCCCAATGTGGGGCTCGATCCCAGGACCCTGGGGTCATGACCTGAGCCGAAGGCAGTGCCTTAACTACTGAGCCACCCAGGTGCCCCAATAAAATCTTTAATAAATAAATTTAAAAAATAAATAAAGGAAATGATGGCATGGCAGGTATAAAGGGTGTGACCAAAATTAAGGAGAGGTGGCAAGAAGCTGCAGCCCACACTGACCTCTCTTTTCCATGGGGATTTGTGTCACTCTGCTTGCGTCAGCTCCTAGGGAGATCTTTTACTTGTGATCACACCTTCAGAGTTGGAGCTTACTCTGCTTCCTGCTAAAGATCCCCCTGGGAGTTGACAAGGATGTGTAGCAAGTATTTTCTTTCTTTTTTTTTCTTAAGATTTTTAAATTTATTCATTTGAAACACAGAGATACAGAGAGAGAGAAAGAGCGTGAGCAGGGGCAGAGGCAGAGGGAAAGGGCGAAGCAGGCTCCCTGCTGAGCCAGGAGCCCGATGTGGGGCTCAATCCCAGGACCCTGGGATCATGACCCAAGCCAAAGGCAGATGCTTAACCATCAGAGTGACCCAGGCACCCCTAGTAAGTATTTTCTTATATAGGCCTGCAAAGGCTGAAGCGACCTGGTATCCAGGATGGGAGTGCTGGTAGCTCTATGTATATGTTTGTTTGAGGTTTTAATCAAGTTTTCAAGGAGTAAAAAAAAAAAAAAACACACAAAAGAATATAAATGAAATGAAAATGTCTTAGTTAAAATACTGCAAAATGCGGGCGCCTGGGTGGCTCAGTTGGTTAAGCGACTGCCTTCGGCTCAGGTCATGATCCTGGAGTCCCGGGATCGAGTCCCGCATCGGGCTCCCTGCTC